ACCAGCTGTTCCTTGGAAAACCTCTACAGGGTCACTATGGGTCAGAATTGACTCAACAGCACTTACCAACAACAGCATGTCATTTATACATACTTATGGATAGATATGGAGTCCTGGGATGGTACTGTAGGATAAGCACTGAACCACAAGGTCAGTAGTTGTGACTCACCAGCCGCTCCTTGGAAACCCTATACAGGGTCACTATGAGTTGCAACCAACTCGACAGCACTTAACAACAGCAACAATATATACATATGCATGTAAGTCTACAGATGGTGTGGCATTGTAGGACAAGCACTGGACTGCAAGGTCAGTTTGAAGCACTAGGTTGGCTGTTCAAACTCACCAGCCGCTCCTCAGAAACCCTAATCAGGGTCGATATGCATTGGAACCAACTTGACAGCACTTAGCAATAAACACAAGCATACGTACACATAGCAGAGAAATTATATTAATTGCCACCTAGTTATTAAGCTGGAATCCTGGTGTGGTGTGACAGGATAATGCACTGGACCACAAGGTTGGCAGTTCAACTATTGGAACTGACTCTATGGCACTGAACCAAAATAGAAAGTCAAAGAAGGAACTTTTGTTAAAAAGCTGCAGCTTAAACTTTTCCTGTTCAAGAGGGAAGAATTACAGGGGCATGGCTTAGGATGTTAGAAGCAATGGGATCCCAGGAACATTTCTGAGTTTAAAGTCTGGAGCTGCCCCTGTGCTGAGTAGATTTGAATTTCCCGTGGGTGTGGGGAGCGGAGGAGGTACAGTTGGGTGGTGGTGCAGAATAAGAATGTACTAACCACCCTGTGATTCAAAACAGTAAGAAGAAGTTGGCAGTCCTGCAGCAGCAGGTGCATTGCCTGTCCCTACTCTGGCAGCTCTATAACCTGGAGGCCACAGCCAGCAATCGCAGGTTTGCCTACCTGGCCACTCTCATGCAGAAGAATTTAGCCGAGGAGTTTGCAAACGAAGCCCAGGTGAGCACAGCCATGCTATACTCTTGAACCCGGTTCAGGAACCTGAAATGCTGGAGAGAGAGACTCTGCCAAGTCCTTGGTTGTAACATGGTTCCACAGCAACCCAGACTGATTGTGTGTTTGAGCAGGATTCATCAGTTTGGAGTTTATGGATGGTTTGTTTCCAGGTATAGAGTTTCCAGGTATGGAGTTATCCTGAACTCCCTGAACTGAAGACAGAATTGTGTTCAGACGAACACCTTGAATAGCACAAATGGTTAAGTGATTGCTAACTGAACTGTTGGTAGTTCAGATCCACTCAGAAATACCAATGACCTATGTTTGAAACTCTCCAGCCATTGAAACGCCTCTAAAACAGTTCTGCTCAGGAACACATGCGGTTACCATGAATTGGAATCGACTTGACAACAGATTATAGGGTAGTAGGAAAGGGGTCATCACTTTTGGCAAGTTCTCAAGGAAGTCTTTGTTCTAGAAGAATTAGAATTGTTGATTTAGGAAAAAAGGAAAGAGAAAGTGTTTTCTGAATTTTCATTTCTGTCTCACCTATCCATCAGCAAATATTTAATGAACAAGTAAGTATGTGCTGATCTTGGCACTGAGAAAGCAGGCAGTAGATAAGAAAAATACATGGTATAGCGTGTTCAAACCAAGCCCAACCCAACCTGCTGCCATCGAGTCAATTCCAACTCACAGTGACTCAAGGCTGTAAGGACTTATGGGAGTCAGAAGCCTCCAGTTTCTCCTGCAGAGCAACTGGTGGATTCGAACTGTTGACCTTGCAGTTAGCAGTTCAATGCGTAACCCACTATGCCACTATTGTTGTTGTTGTTGCTGTCAAGTCAGTTCCGACTCTTAGTAACCCTGTACAGGGTTTTTGTGGAGCAACCAGTGAGTTTGAGCCGACTTTGTGGTCCAGTGCTTAACCTATAGTACCACACAGTATATTGTTGTTGTTATTAAGTGCTGTTGAGGTTATTCCAACTCATAACGTTCCAAAGGATCCCTGGTAGAGTAGTGGGTTATAAGTTGGGACTGTTAACTACAAGGTCAGCAGTTCAAATCTAGCAGACACTCTGTGGGATAAAGATGAGACTTTGTGCTTCCATAAGGATTTGTAGCCTTGGAAACCCTCTGCACAGTCACTTTGAGTCTGAATCAAGTCGACAGCACACCACCACCACCACCATAGGGTCCCAAGGCTGTGGTGCAAGTGGGAGTGAGTGATCTTTTGTAAAGGTAGAGCTGATTATCAGTCTTTTAAAATTTGGTAATGTGTAAATGAAAATACTCTGTAAAAGAGAGTTCTATGGTAGTTCAGTAGGTATTTCTTAATAAGGAACAGCCTCCTGTTTTTTGTCATGTGTCTTGTCCTTTGAGATGTCCATTCATGTCCTTCTGTTAGGAGATTAAACCTACTGCATATAATGCACTTGAGCACCAAAGGGAATATTTGAGTTGTCCACCGTGTTGCATTACGTGTGCTTTAACCAAGAGGTCTTTGGAGAGCAACTAATGGATCCATTTTGGAATATGAGAGAAAAATGCCAAAGATAACTTTAAGACTTGAGGCTTCTAAAAGGATACAGATGTTCTTTATTGGGAAGAGAAAGTCTGAAGGTGGAACATACTTAGGGGAAATTTGGGAATTGGGTTTCAGCCTTGTTTAATTTGAGAAAGAAAGAAGCAAAAAACCAAAATGGATGTCAGAAGAGACTCTAAAACCTGCTCTCCAGCATAGCGATGCTAAAGCAAATGGAAGAAATGAGGAAGTAAAAGAGTTGAGCAGAAAATTTCAAAGGGTAGCACAAGAAGACAAAGTCAAGTATTATAATGAAATGTGCAAAAAACTGGAGTTAGAAAACCAAAAGGGAAGAATAGGTTCAGCACTTCTCAAGTTGAAAACTGGAGAAGCCTCAACTTGCAGTATTGACGGATTCTATGGCCAATTTATTGACTGATACACAAAGCATCAAAAGAAGATGGAAGAAATACACAGAATCACTGTACCAAAATGAAATGGATGATGTTCAACCATTTCAAGAGGTAGCATATGATCAAGAGCCAATGATAATAAAAGAAGAACTCCAAGGCACACTGAAGGCATTGGTTCTGGGAATTTATGGAATGCAAATTGAAATCTTTCAACAAACCGATGCAACACTGGAGGCACTCATTCATCTATGCCAAGAAATTTGGGAGACATCTACCTGGCCAAATGACTGGAAGAGATCCCTATTTGTGCATATTCCAAAGAGAGGTGACCCATCAGAATGTGGAAATCACTGGAGAATGTCATTAATATTAACATACAAGTAAAATTTTGCTAAAGATACTTCAAAAATGACTGCAGCAGTACATTGAAAAGGAACTGCCAAAGGTTCAAGTCAGATTTAGATGAGGATGTGGAATGAGGGATATAATTGTTGGTGGATCTTGGCTGAAAGCAGAGAATACCAGAAAGATGTTTACCTGTGCTTTATTGTGACTACAAAAAGGCTTTCGATTGTGTGGATCATGACAAGCTATGGACAACATTGAGGAGAATGAGTGTTCTAGAACATTTAATTGTGCTAATGAGGAACCTGTACATAAACCAATAGGTAGTTGTTCAAACAGAACAAGGAAACATTGAATGGTTTAAAATCAGGAAGGGTGTGCACCAGGGTTATATTCTTTCACCATACTTATTCAATCTGTATGCTGAGCAAATAATCTGAGAAGTTGGATTATATGAAGAAAAATGTGGCATCAGGATTGGAGGAAGACTCATTAATAACCTGTGATATGCAGATGATACAACCTTGCTTGCTGAAAGTGAAGAGGGTTTTAAAAACTTACTGATGAAAATCATAGACCGCAGCCTTCAGTATGAGTTGCACCTCAGTGTAAAGAACACAAAAATCCTCACCACTGAACCAATAAACAACATCCATATAAATGGAGAAAAGATTGACGTTTTCCAAGACTTCATTTTGCTCATTTGACCATCAATATTCATGGAAGCAGCAGTCAAGAAATTACATGACGCATTGTGCAGGAGATGGATTCGATGGCACCTAACAGCAATTTGAGATGCCCATCAGACCTGGCTTGGTGTGCTGTAAGATAAACCCTGGACCACAAGGTTGGTTTGAACCACAAGGTCAGCGGTTCAAATTCACCAGCCATTCATCCTCGGAAACCCTACACAGGGTTGCTATGAATTGGAACTAACTCTGTGGCACTTAACAAGAACAACAGTTGGACATCCATGTGGCAATGTTGAATAGGCAGTTGACTGTATGCATCTAGGGTTCAGGGAAGCCTCTGAGTGGGAAATAGAAATGTGGGATTCATCAGTGTGTAGATGCTATTTAAAACCATGAAATTGAACCAAGGTCACCAAAGGACTGAGTATAGAAAAGAGAAGAGGTTCAAAGACTGACTTAAAATCAATACTGCTAAGAAGTCAGGGTGATAAGAAGAAACCGATAAAAGAAACTGAGAAGAAAATTCCAGGAAGGTAGGAGGAAAACCAAGAGAGCATGTTGTTAGATGCCATCACGTCGGCTCCAACCCATGATGATCTTATGCACAACAGAATGAAACACTGCCCAATCCTGTGCCAGCCTCACAATGGTTGCTACATGTTAGTCCATTGCTACTGCCACTGTGCTGATCCATTTTGTTGGGGGTATTTTTCGCTAACCCTCCACTTTACCAAACTTGATGTCCTTCTCCAGGAACTGGTCCCTTCTGATAGTATGTCCTAAGTATGAGACACAAAGTCTGGCCATCCTGGCTCCTACAGAGCGTCTGCCTATTGTTTTTCCAACACAGATTTGTTTGTTCTTCTGGCACTCCATGGTATTTTGAATATTTTTCTCCAGCACCATAACTCAAATGCGTTAATTCTGTGGGCTTTATTCATTGTCCAACTTTCATATGCATGTGAGGCTATTAAAAATACCATGGCTAGGATCAAGAGAACATGATATCCTGGAAACCTAGTGAAGACAGTGTTTCAAGAAGAGGAGACTGTGAACTCTGCCAGATATGCACAGAGCTATACAGACATTTTAGGCCACAGTTCTGAAGAGTTATAAGGTGCAAGCACCAGAGGCTTTAACTTTAGAAAACATATGAGAGGTACAGTCTGATCAGTGTTCTGAGACAGACATGGGTTAGAGAGGAAGGGATAGAGCAATTAGAAAAAGTGGCTTGTTTCAAGATGTTGTTGTTATGTGCTGTCAAGTTGGTTGTGACTCATAACGACTCTGTATAGCATTTCCAAGGAGCAGCAGGTGAGTTTGATTCACCAACCTTACGGTTCAAACCAACCTTGTGGTCCAGTGCTAATTCTACAGCACCACACCAGGACTCCATCAAATTAGAAGTATAGGGGCCAGAAGGAGTATGTCTTGAGAGCTAGAGTAGAGACAAGTGGTCGGGGCACCAAGAGTTCAAAGTGGGGGAGCAGCAAGAGCTATAATGGAAAAGGACAAGATGGGTATAAAGCGTGTAAGTACAGCGAGGATGTTTTGCCCATGTTTGCTGCCCCACAGGTTATCTCTACCTATGTGGACCTCTCCCAGTACTCACAAAGCATGGGCGACAGGGAGAAGTGGCTGCACTCTGAGAAGATGGCCATTCAGAAAAGCAGTGGATATTGGTTCTCCAGGGAAGAACTGGTGGCCACAGCCCGGCTCATGCAGGCCTTGGCCTACACCAAACTCTGCCTTGGCCATCTTGACTTCTCCATCAGCCTCGGTAAGAGTGGTTGGGGCCTTTGGGCCTAGGGCTATTAGAGAATGCAGGCTCCCAGCTAGATCTCACACAATGCTCTTGCACCTCCTTAGGTTTTCAAGCCCATGAGATATGCAGACACTTCAAGAAGCCAGCTCTGGAGAATCTGGTTCTGTCGGTTCTCTTCAGATCTGCATTTCTGAAGAAGAAGTATTGAGATCATTTTCTCTCATTTGTATTTATTGTCTAAGAGGGGTGGGTATGTTCTCTGAGAGAAGTTTGGGGTGGAGAAGGAGATGCTGTTCAGTTTCCACAGTGGAGTTGTCTTGCCCCTGGCTCCTCAGGAAGCATTATGTCAGTGTGTGGGCTCAGCGGTGAAATGCAGAATCAGAGCAGCTTCATCTTAAGCAGCACTTCATGCTTTTCATCAGGGGCAATCTTTCCTTTTCTGTTTCTTTTTCAGTTTTCTGCAGGGAGGTGGAGAATCGCAAAAGTTTAGCCCTAGAAACTGTCTTGGAGGCATTTTCCCATCTCCTTTAACTAGGGGGAGGTCTGGTCCCATGTAGGGATGCTCCCTATGCAGAGAAGGTCTGGAATATTAGATGCCCCTCCTTCTACATCACCCTCCTTACTCCCTTGCTGATCCCAGTGGCTCTGGCTCTGTCTCTTGGCAGATTTGAGCTGTGTGTTCGTGTTCTGGAGAGCCAGTGGGCACTCATTTCCCAGGGTCATGATGTCCTTGGCCTGGCCTGCTTCTATTCTGCTTGCTTAGATCTGCTGCTCTATGGAAAAGGTAAATGTTACTCCTGAGTGGTCAGACCTTAAATGGGGCCCTTGGTTTGGAACATAGGTAGTCATAAGCTTGTCCCTGAGGCATGGCTGAGGTCTCTGTTCCTTAAGGACTAGGAACCACTTTATGGTTCTGGGCTATCTGACTTTCAGGTCTTAATCTCCTCTGCCCGGTACCACATACCTTCTTATACCTAGTTCCTGCCTTGACAACATAGACTAACCTGGTGATCCTCTCTCCCCACAGGATTGCTGTGTCGACCCTTCAGGGAGTGTCTGCGTTTCATTCAGGACTATGAACACAGCTGTGTTCTAACCTCGCAGAGCAATGTCATGCTGGGGGTCCACTCCTCTCTGGCCATGTGGTAATGTGGGACATCAGAGTCTCTGGAAAAGGGTAGAAATTTAAGGATACCCCGAGATCATTTAAGCTATTGCCTTTTACCCTTCCAGGCAGGAAAATGCTTACCAGTCCTTATCAGCATGGCCTCCCATCTGCTAGAAGAGTTCTGTAGATTCAGGGTTAAATTTCTGTGATCCTGTAGCCCGTTGAGTGAGTGGGAGTAACCTGTAAGTGGTAACGTAGCTACAGCAAGACTGAGTGTCACTGGTGTCTTTATACATCTCTTTCATATGAGTTGTTAGCCTTGGCTACTTCCAGCATCAGAATCCTGACTGTTCAGAATTAGAGCCTTAAAGAAGTGATGATTTTATGAAGGTGCCATGGTTGGTAAGCAGGGTCTAGAACTGAGAGCAGTGACTCCTTCCCTCCAGGTTTGCCCAGGACTCACAGTGGGACCTGTTTGAATACCACCTCTCCAAGGCTCACCAGTTGGTGGAAAGAACCAACGCCTCATTATTTGGTTCACATGGCTTTGTTCGATTCCTAGAGTGCCAAGTGCTGATGTTACACAGAATGCTAGACGGTGTTTTCGTGCATATGTCCCCAGAGACTCACAGCCAAACCCTCAAGGTACCTGTTTCTCTGCTGTCCTTTAAGGAACAACTCATTTGGTTACACTCCGTTACCCTTTCTACTGCCTGCATCTCTCCCTTACTCTTCTCCATGGCGTTGTCTCCCTTTCCTACTTGAGCCCTTTGTTTCCCCAACTCTAAAGTCTTCCTGCCAACCCTGTTATTCTCCCAGATGAACTTGAGTCTGAGTCACAGTTACTACCAAATCCCACTCGCATTTTGCCTCCTCTGTGGCTCAGTGTATAACTGATACATCTCCCTACAGCTCTGTCTTCTGAGTTTAAAAGGCACATTTCAATCCCTTTGCATCCCAGAACCAGATTTCTGGACCAACTTGGCCATCAATCTACCTCCTCCCTGCCCTCCCAGTCCTGAGCAACTATACGGAGTGAGAACAGACTAGGGGAAGAAAGTGCAAGTCTGTGAGCTAACAAGCCTTCCTTTCCTTTCAGTACTTTAAAGAGTTCTTCTCTCGATGTGTCACCTGCCCTGTCTATCACCAGAGGGTCTCTGAGCTTAAAGCATTGGTCATGAGATGTGGAAAGACAGGACCCATGTCCTTGACTAACATGCCAAGACCCTTTGAAACCTGCTTGACCAAGATTTGGGTAGAGGAAGAATTCCTGGACGATAACAACTCTTGTAAAGAACATTTTGGAATACAGGGTAAGCACTCCTCCCTGAAACTCCTGTCTGAGAGCCATATAGTCTCAGATTCTTGTTCACAAGCAGTGGAAGGCTACACCTCTAAAGTAAAGGAACACACAGATGTAAGGAATTAGTCCTTGCTCCAGAAGGAATCATAGTCCTCTCCCTAGTGCTGGACCCAGCCTAGGCACACAGGGATCCATTAGATTTGAACCATAGCAACATCAGCCCCTCTCAGCTGTGTTTCAGCATCTGTAAGCCTTGGGCATAGAAAGTTCTTTCTTGGTCCTAGCTAAAACAAGTAGGCCATTCCCATGGAGTATCTGAAGGGTCACTAAGGGGAAAAGAAGGCCTTAGATGTCACATACAACGTCTGTGGTCTGTGATGGTAAATGGTGAGATGTGTGGGATAAGATAAAAGGCAAAAGAGAGATAGCTCCTTGACTTGGGACCTAGAAAACCTCCTCCTTTTCCAGGGCCATGAGTTAAATTTATAATTGCTAAGAACAGTCTTTGTTTTCCTGGTATATTTTATATGCCTGCTTTCAGGATTTGACAGAGTGGCTGATGTCAAGGAGACTAAAGATGAAGATGAAATTCAAGAATGTGTATGTTAAAACAATTACAGAAAATCATCTGAAGGGACGTGATTCTCTGTATTATATATAACACAAGGGAATGTCCCCAAGTCCTCCTTTTTAGGATACTGTATAGTGTACATATTAAATATCCTAGACTTTTATAGTCACTACTATCTATATCTTTGTCAGAATAAAAGCTTATGTTTCTGAGAGCATAACCTTTGTTGTTGTTAGGTACTGTTGAGTCGGTTCCAACTCATAGCAACGCTCTGTACAACAGAACAAAACACTGCCTGGTCCTGCGCCAATCTCACAATCATTGCTACACTTGAGCCAATTTCTGCTGCCACTCTGTCAGTCCATCTTTTTGGGAGTCTTCCTGTTTTTCTCTGACCCTCCACTTTACCAAGCATGATGTCCTTTTCCAGGGACTGGTCCCTCCTGATAATATGTCCAAAGTATGAAACACGAAATTTCACCATCCTGGCTTCTAAGGAGCATTCTGGGTGTACTTCTTCCAGCACAGATTTGTTCTTCTGTCAGTCCATGGTACTCTGAATATCCTTCTGCAACATCATAACTCAAATGCACTAGTTCTCCGATGGTCTTCATTTGTTCACTGTCCAACTTTCACATGGATATGAGGTTCCTGAAAATACCATGGTTTAGGGCAAATGCACCTTAGTCTTCAAACTGACATCTTTGATTTTGAACACTTTAGAAAGGCCCTGTGCAGCAGATTTGCCTAATGCAATACGTTGTTTTACTTCTTGGCTGCTGCTTCCATGAGTGTTGATAGTGGATCCAAGCAAAATGAAGTCTTAAGACAACTTCAAGCTTTTCTCCATTTATCATGATGTTATTTATTGGTCCAATAGTAAGGATTTTTGTTTCCTTTACATTTGAAGTACAACCCATACTGAAGGCTGTATGGTTGTACTGTCTTTGATCTTCATCAGTGAGTATATTAAGTCCTCTTAGCTTTCAGCAAGCAGGTTGTATCATCTGCATATCGTAGGTTGTTAATGAGTATAACTTCAATCCTGATGCCATGTTCTTCATATAATCCAACTTCTCATATTATGTGCTAAGCATAAAGACTGAATAAATATGATGAAGGAATACAACCCTGCCATACCCCTTTCCTGATTTTAAACCATTCAGCGTCCCCTTGTTCTGTTCAAACGACTGCCTTCTTGGTCTCTGTACTGGTTCTTCATGAACACAATTAGGTGTTAGTCATAAAACACAGGTAAATATCTTTCTGATATTCTCTGCTTTCACTCAAGATCCATGTTTCTGAGAGCATGACCCTTAGATCTTTCTTAATTCTTAACAGTCATTAGTGTAACTGTTGTTGAAACTCAAAACTGGGAAGAAGGAAGGCTTGGGAGTGGAGGTTTTGGGATGAATTGTTTCCATCTTATTTAAAGTGAGGTCCATTGTTGTTAGGTGCCTTCAAGGCAGTTCCAACTCATAACAATCAAATGTACAACAGAATAAAACACTACCTAAGGAGCTCTGGTAGTGTAGTGGTTGCGAATCAGGCTGTGAACCGCAAGGTCAGCAGTTCGAAACTACCAGCTGTTCCATGGGAGAAAGATGAGGTTTTCTGCTCCCGTAAAGATTTACAGCCTCGGAAACCCAGTGCAGGGTCGCTATGAGTCGGAACCTACTCCACTGCACATAACAACAACAACAACAACAAGTCCTATGCCAGCCTTACAGTCATTACTATGTTTGATCCCATTGGTGCAGACATTGTCAGTCCATCTCAGTGAAGGTCTTCCTCTTTTTCTCTGACCCTCTACTTTACCAAGCATGATGTCCTTCTCAAGGGTGGGCCTGATAACATGTCCAAAGTACATGTTATCACCATCCTCACTTTTAAGGAGCATTCTGGCTATACTTCTTCTAGGACAGAGATTGTTCTTCTGACGATCCATAGTACATTGAATATTCTATGTCAACACCATAATTCAAATGCATACATTCTTTGATCTTCTTTCATCATTGTCCATCTTTTGCATGCATATGATCTATGAGTTGGGTCAGGTACACCTTAGTCCTCAAAGTGTCATCTTTACACTCGAAAGATGTCTTTTGTGGCTGATTTTCCTGGTACAATGCATCGTT